CATTTGGAAGTACTCAGCAGTAACTGGTGACTGGAAAAAAAAAAAAGCAACATCAAATCCATTTTTAAGAAGGGTAAAAAGGATGAATGGAAACTGGGAACTACTCACCTGTCCATGTCACCTCTGTGCCGGGGAAGATCATGGAACACATCTAACACACACTAAGGCACGTGGGAGGAATGTTTGACCATCTTCATCTCTTTCTATGACCTGCTGACCCACCTAGACCCTAGACAAAGGAAAGTCCATGGATGTAATCTGCCTAGATGTTAGTAAAGCTTTTGACTGTGTTTCCCACAGTATTCTGCAGAAGCTGGCAACCCAAGTCTTGGATAGGTGTACTCTGTACTGGGTAAAATCTGCCTGGAGGACTGGGCCCAGAGTGTGGTGGTGAACGGAATTAAATCTACCTGGTGACTGGTCATGAGTGGTGTTCCTCACCTATCAGTATTAGGGTTGGCCCTCTTTTATATCTCTATTGATGATCTGGACACAGAGATTGAGTGCACCCTCAGTAAGTTTGAAGATGGCACCATATTGGAAGGAAGTGTCAATCTGCCTGAGGGTAAGAAGGCCCTATAGAGGGGTCTGGATAGGCTGAATTAATTGACCGAGGCCTGTTGTGTGAGTTTTAACACGACCAAGTGGCAGGTCCTTCACTTTGGTCACAACAATTCCCTGCATCAGGGGTTGGAGCAGTGTGGCCAGAAAGCTGCACAGAGAAAAAGGATCTTGAGGTGTTACTTGACAGCTGATCGTGAACCAGCAGCATGCCCAGATGACCAAGATAGCCAACGGCATTCTGGCTTGTATCAGACATAGTGCAGTCAGCAAGACCGGGGAGGTGACCATACCTCTGTACTCAGCACTGATGAGGCCACACCTTCAGTGCTGCATTTCCAGACTACAAGAAAGACCTGGAAGCTTGGAAGCATGTCCAAAGAATGACAACAAAGCTGTGAAGGATCTAGAGCACAAGACTTATGAGGAGTAAGTGAGGGAACTGGGATTGTTTAGTCTGGAAAAAGGGATGCTCAGGGAAGACCTTATTGGTCTCTACAACTCTCTGAAAGGAGATTATAGTCAGGTGGGAGTCTGCCTCTTCTCCCAAGTAACAGTGATAGGATGAGAGGTAATGACTTAAAGTTGTACTCAGGGAGGTTCAGGTTGGATGTTATATTTCTTCTTAGGAAGGGTAGTATAGGAACAGGCTGCTCAGGAAAGTGGTGTAGTGACTGTCCCTACAGATGTTCAAGAACCATGTAGGTGCAGCGCTGAGAGACATGGTTGGTGGGCATGGTGGTGATGGATTGATAGTTGGACTAGATGATCTTAGTGGTCTTTCTAACCTTTATTCTGTGATTCCGTTTGAATAGAAATCCTCATGTGTCTGTGTGGTTGTGGCAAATAAAAGGTGGATTAGTTTCTGTTTCAAACTTGAAAGTTTCAGACTTGAAAGTTTGGAACCCAGTCATCTTGCATTCTGGAAGGCTCCATGCCCTTGTCTTTATAACTCTTCTGGATTAATTCTTTATTTTTTAATGGAGGGCTGCAGTAATATGAACTCAAATAGGAAAACACTGGAAGTAAATGAGACTTAGATGACTTCAGGCATATGGTGAGCAACCGAATAAGCCTGGGAGTATTGTAATAAATTCATTCTTCTCTGTTAAAAATACAAATACTATCAAAATTTAGCTTTCAGAAAACAGAAGATTTTATACACTAAATTGTTCACCAAATTAATCCATTAGTTCCAAAGATCTACTTTGTAAAGTACCATATGATTTAAGGCCCAATCCTGTAAGAAATTCCTTTATTCTAAATATTTCTTATCTTTCCTATACATTTAATGCTTAATTATACAGAACTGTTCCAGTAAGTCCCAGATCCCTAGAAATATGACTTACTTATCCACATTTTTCTGCTACAAAATATTATGAAATACTGTTTTTAAAAAGTTGCAAATATTGCAGTTTATATGAATTCTTTCTCACCTGTCTTCCAAGAAGTAGCGTACTGCTTTGTGTAAACAATTCTTTTTCCATGGGCAACTGTGTAGTAACTCCTGCTGACTGCCTCTCTTGTGTATGAGGGATAACCACTGCAATTGCAATCTCATATAAAAAAAAAAAAAAAAAAAAAAAAAAAAACCCCACAATAGTTTTAGGTAGGATCCTGTTAGCATAGGAAGTAAGAATCTAATTGTAGCAGTTATCAGAATTTAATGTTGTAAGCACTGCAGTTTGCTTAACAGAAATGATATAGAGACAGAGGGGGGTAGTAGACAGTAAGAGACCAAGACCTCGTGCATTTATCTGAGGAAGTGAAAGAGTTTCTTAGTCTCATTTTATCAACACTTCAATAATTGGTACATACAGAAGGTTACTAAAGTCTGTCTTGACATATCAAGTGGTCCATGTTTCAGAGTTCCAGTGTTAAAGTACCGTGCAATGCTTTAAAACTTTAGGAATAAAAACTGTGAAGTTGTTATGAGTTGATTGTTTTTGGTTTATAAAATCTATTGCATCCAACTTTCAGGTGGGTGCTTGTACTTAAGTAAATTACACTTCATGTTGCTTGAAAGTAATGAATGCTAATGACAGATAATGATGTCTTGTTTCTAATTAGCACTGCCAAGAGAACCTGAGGTTTCTAGAATTCACGATGATCACAGTTTCCAGGAACAGTCTGAGAATGTTAAAATTATATAAACAAGTTTATTTATGCTGAATTCATTTGCTGATTGTTTCCTTCCATAACTGAGCATAATGTAAATGATTATGTTTATCTGTATGTTAATAATCAAGAAAAAAACCTTACATATGGAGAAGCACATTCTATCATCTACTTTTTATAAACATTCATTGTTCATTTTTAATAAAAAAATACAGGCGAAAATGTTTACAAATAAATGTATGTAATAGATTATAGTTAATATTCAGAAAGCTTTAAAATAAAGCAGACTAATGAATAAGGAGTCTGGCTCAAAAAATGTATATGAGTTAGCAAGGAATTTGACACACCATTTTGGCTTCATTCCATGGAAAGTATTATGCAAGGACATAAAGTTGGAGAACTTAGACATTGTGCTATGAGTTATGTGTTTTCATAAAGACGTTAAGGATTGTGTTCATAAACATCAAAAATGCAGTACACAATAGATCACTCCAGTCACTTCCTTTCTACAGTTTCAATACAGCTTGTTTCTTACTTTAATGGTTTGTATTTAATATATTTAAGTTCCAAATGATCACTGTGTGGGATTTTATCTCACGTTCTTCTTGTTTGTATGATTCAGTATTCTTTAATTAAAAAACAAAAATAAAAAATAAAAAAAATACAAAAACCATAATGTAACAAAGAAATTTTACCTACTCTTGCACGTTTAACTTTTTGCTGGATGTTATGGTGATGGTAAACACTGTAGGCCCTACTCAGTGACCAATGAAAACAGGTCTGCTGTTGCAGGACTGGATCCAAAATGCATTCATTTGAGAGCTGACTTTGTTTTGTAAAATATATCAGGAAGAAATATTAATATCTACTAACAGAAGATGAGTTTTCTGGGTTTCTTCTCCAGTAACGCTGTTTGCTATTCCAACACCCTTCTCTACATAGAAAAGCCTACAGCATTCCAAAATTCCATTGCTTAAATTGTATTACATGAGATTTTTCATGCTGCTTTCTACAAGAGCTAGGTGGTATGTCATCTGTCTATTCTGAAAATTTCAAGCATTTTCTTAGATCTAATACTATGAGTTCTGTGCATATGATGAGATTTATCTCTGACACCATTAGTGCCAGTTCACAATTGGTTGTCCTGTACATTTTATCTAACTTGCTACTAGAATGATTGCAAAAAATGCTACAGAATGCTACAGAATGCTAGGTGTGTTCAAGAAATAAAAGATGTATTCTTCCTTTGCAAGGTTTTGGACTTGGGTTGAGGTAATCCCAGATATGTGTATAAACAGAATGAAGAACTGCTTCAGAGTAGCCCTGGTGAGAAAGACTTAGGGATACTGGTTAATGAAAAACTTAACATGAACAGCAATGTGCACTTGCAGCATGGAAGGCCAATGGTGTCCTGGGTTCCATCAGAAAAGGGGTGGCCAACGGGGCAAGGGAGATATTGTGTCTGAGATATTTATGTAAGTGCACTATATTTCTGTTTGGCTCCCTGCAGAAACAAAAAATACAATATCATATCATGAACATTGCAGGTTTTCTGGTTAGAGACTGATTCCTTTTGTGATCTGCCCAGTAGCCAAAAACAGATGTATTCTGTTCATGAATTTGGTGGCAGATACCAAATATCAAATGCAAAGAATAAATTATAATAACAGTCAAGCTACTTCGAGTCTGATTTTCTACTCCTTGAACCTCTCAATGTGTTTTATATTAGTATTGTGTAAAACTTTGCATGGGTGTGATTGACTGCATAAGGAAGACGGCTGTGGAGAATCAGGCTTTTCTTGCCAACCAATAGAAACACACTTTATTCTTCAGGAGAAAAACTGAAAAACTGTCAGTGCTCTCAGTAAAGATAAGTAGTTTACAGGTTCCATATAGCACAATTTAGTCTGTTTTGCGGAAAAAAAACAAACTATGCTGAATTTGATACTGCATATATGTTTGGAATAACAGGTAAATGAGATTTACATCTTTTCTGGCAGTATAACAGTTGCAAATAATAAAGTGGGTAGACATTTTTCAGACCTTATTTTTGCAAATAGAATTTCTGACACTGTTTGTCATATCTCCTAGATTTACATATTTAGAGACAATTATGTTTTCTGCTTAACAGATAAGAAAGGTGTTGTCATCTGTTATAGCCATTACTGTCACTAATACCTTTCTCTTTGCATTTTTTAAAGTTGTTATTATTCCTGAAAGTAGCGGGGCTACCATGTATTAAAATACTTTTCATTTTCTACACTCTGTTTGGGTTTGGTTACCCATGGCAATAGTAATGTGACTGTCTGTATCTGTTACAGTGTGCCTGAATATTATGACTATGGTCACGGAACAAGTGAAGAGGCTTATGACAGCTACGGTAAGGTCTCTTCTGTCTTTAGCAAAAGTGTGAAATCCAAAGAAAAATCTGTCACTGGCAACTCAGAAATTTGTTCCACATACTTTTCTTTCTCTCTCTGCTTCTACCAAGGCCAAATCTAAATGGATTTGTGTGATGTTAAAGTGAGTTTTGACTTACTGAAGTAGGACCAGAAAATTGGACAGATTTATTTTGATCAAAATTACAAAGCAAATTAATTGCAGTCATAGATCAGCTTAAACAGCAACAGTGAAGTTTCTGCTTAATGCCTGAATATATTTCAGTGGTAGGTTTCCGTCTGCTTGATGTGTCAGTAATCCTGTGTACCTATTACTGTCACGTGCATCACTTCAACCAGCAATTTTTGCAAGATTTTGAAATGTAGACATTCTCAAAGGGGAAGGAGAGGGTTCTGTACCCCCATGTTAGCCCTCCCTGCACCAAGAGGCGGGGTCGTATCCTTGGGCTGCATGAGGCAGCAGTGACAGAGGGAGCATTATGGTCTTCACACCTCTACCTGCTAAGTCTGTCTGAACTGCCATATGCCTTTTCCAAAGGGACAGAAGGCATGACACAAAAAGATAATATCACTCCAATGTGCCCATTTTCTAGATCGGTTTTCTTACATTAATGGTGTGTTTTGATGACTAACAATAATCTATTCCGCCTTTTACAATCAAATTGATTTCAGCACCTTTTAACATCAGATGACACAGTGAATTGTGTGGCATTTTCACTGAAATAAGAGAGCACTGCTGACTGTTGTCATCTTAGAGACTGACCCTGGAGCATTCAACGTAACTATCATGCTTGATTTACCGTTACTAATAAAGTACTGTAAGTTTACGTAGTGACTTCCAGAGCATTATGAAAATGAGAGATGCTAGAAATGGCACTGCAAGTAGACATTACATTAAGAGGTTACATAAGGTTTGCTGCTTGAAAAAATAATTTTATTCGTGCAGCTGTGGAATAAATTTCACCATAATATAAAGTCGCAGTTTCCTTTGTACTTGTACAGCAATCATAAGACATTCCTGAGATACTGTCAAAATGATTGCAATGCATAATCAGAAATAGCTCTTTTTTTTCGTATAATCAGTATTTGTAATAGATTTGCATTACACAATGTGCAGTCAAGCACATTTCCAGTGCTAAACAAGTAATAATAATAACTTATCCGTACATTTGTGCTTCAGTTACCCTTTGTTTTATTAGCAACTTATATATACTCTAGTACTTACAGTGAAATATCTTTCCAGCCTTTTCTGGATTCCCTGTACATCATCCCCCCTCCTAGATGCATTGCTAAGGTTTTGGGCAGTGCAGAAAAGCCCAATCTGAGCTCAGAAGTAGGAATTTGCCACTGTTACATTTTTAACTAGGCTTCTCCACACTAATTCTCTGTATGTTTGGGCAAGCCATTTAAAGTAATGTCATTCTTCCTCCAATCCCTCATTTGTAAAACTAGAAGAATATCACTTGTTTTCCCAGCAGGTGTTTAGTGAGAACTAATTAGCTAAGGCTTACAAAGTGTTCAAGAAGTCAGATCATGACTAAATTTATGCTCTGAACGAAGTTTTTTTGTTTTGTTTTGTTTTCCATTATACAGCTGAAACAAACTCAAAATGTCTGGCTTTACTTTGCTAGATTTGTTTCAAATTACATAGTTGATAACTGTGAATGTACATTTTTGCGTAAACTACATTCTGAGCTGGCGTTCAGATACAACATTCTGGAATAGTTTTGCCAGTAACCTACAGTAAACATAGTAAAAGCAGAATAATATTTCAAATTGCAGTTTTTCTACTTTATGAAATCAGAAACAGATTTGCATGTGAGTATTTGTGCTTCTGCTGCATCACTTTAACAGATTAATGAATTTGTTAACTCCATGCTGTGGAAACCTGAATGTGAACTTTCTGCAACCTAGAGTTACAACTCTTTATCTGAGGAGGTAATCCAAAATATATGCAGCTATAGAATTTACACTTAACTTTCTCATTTTCTGAATTCTGAAGGTTCTTTCTGCTGCTTGTTCTCTCCAAACAAATTCTGGTGTTCTCTCTGTATGTTTTTCTTACCACTGCCTCCCACTCAACAAATAAGCATTCTGGTGTCCCCTCTTCTCAGCCTTATATAGCTTTCTTTTATTACCCTAACTCCCTAGTACATCTCAGTTCTCTAGTTCTGTTTCAGGATTTGTGTTGCAATTCATTGTGAGGTTTTTATATCCATCAGACTGTATAAAATCAACCACCCTTTCACATATCAGCATCCCACAGAAATCATCAGTCTTTCTTTCATCCCAGTTCATTTGCAGATATTTTTTTACTCTGTATTTTGTTAAGTGTTATAAAGCACGGTGGTACTCCTGTGCAAGCTGTCTACTGTAACTTTTCTTTCTATCTGGGTTCCTGAGGAATATTAGGTGTTGTTTTTCTTGGTTTTATTTTGTTGTGATTTTTTGTCTTGGTCTCCTCTGAGCTCCTTTTAGAAAGTTGGTGAAGTCTGATTGTCTGCATTGTAGGTTTTCTCAGAAGTTGTTCAGATTTATGGATTTATGGGATGTCTGTACAAAGATGAAAACATCGCACTAGTGTTTCAGAGCAGAGCCCATCTGCAAGTCATGTCATTCTCAAATTTCAGCTTTCTGAATGTAACAAGAATGAAAGGGCCTAAGTTACTTATCTGAGGGTAGGCAAGACATACTATTTCCCACTGTACAATCCACACATTGAGTTAATTGCCTTGAACTCCTTGTTCAGTTTCTGATATAGTGGTTCCTGAGAATTAGATCTCCTCCAAATCCAACCAGAAAATCTCCCAGGACAATAGCAAAGACGTTTCTGAGGTAGTTGAGTAAAATCCCGCTATCCTCCCTGAAATAGGTACGTTCTATGAATAAAAATACATAGCAGAGATCCTCTCATGCAGTTACTTTACTGTGTTTTTACCATCAGGATTCCTTTCTCACAATTCATTCTGATGCCTGATTTTAAAAAAAAAAAAATCAAGGAAAAGACCCCACCCAAAACATTCTGATTTTTCAGTTTAAGTGCAAATTAGATTTATTCTAACTAAATAAAAAAATAAATCAGAATGGTCATTTTGGTCTAGAATTGAAAAATATTTCATTGACAAAAAATAAAATGAGATATTTTTGCATTTGAGAAACTGTTCATTTCATGGAAATGATTTTGTATCCTTTACAATTTTCAGGGTGGTAAAACGTCCCACAGGATTTAGCAATATTAGGATAATCCTTACATTCTGATTCATTTAATGATAGCTGACAAAGATACTCTGGATACAGTAAAGGAATTGGGAAAAAAAATTATATTTGGATCATTTTTATTTACTGTCATTTATTCAGGATTTTTTCTCTTTTTTTTTTAAAAAAAAAAGTGTTCATTTTCTCTAATTACATTTTGTAGTGGATATTGTATTTCAATTTAACATGAAGTACTCACTTATAAACAACTGGTATTCAATTCTAGAATAATTCCATCTTTAATTAAAATTGGAGAGCTTAACTGTTCAATGTAATTCCTTTTAACATAAGATACCAACCATTTAAGTTTTATAATGCTGCCACAATGATTTAACTGACTATTTCACAAATAATTCTCTGCCAGTCATTCAGTGAGAGTTTAGCAGTTGTGATGACAATTAGTTTACTAAGTAATGCTCTACACAAACAGTACTTTGTAAACAAATTCTTTGTAGGGATTTATAGGGATAATAATTTTAAAAGTATGTTGATGTTCCACTAATTTTTGATGATCTTACTTGTTAATTTTGTGAGTTTCTTATTTCTGAGGAGTGTATTACCTAGTAATTCATTTATGTAGTTATAAAATTTTAGGAAGAGTATATGCAGGGTTCAAACTTCAGAAATTTTGATAGAAAAATAGGTTAGTTGAAGGCATGTTACTATATGAGACATAAAGAATAACACCCAGTTATGAAATGAAGCATGCTCATTTCATAGAGAAGCTCAATTAACTACCATCCTTGTAAGAAACGTACCCTAGATTGTTTACTTTGTGGAAGTGACAATAAAAGCAGATTAAGATGCTCTGCAGTATATGGAGAAAAAGGATTTTGTGAATTTTGAAAAGCCCATTCTTAGCAATTGCTCTGCAGGTGAAGATAAGAAATTTATTAGCCATGACATCCAAATTCTATCCTGCTTTCTGATAATAACATTGATATTGTAGGTCCTCGCTACTTGTAAGGGAATTGTTATGTCACAGCCAGAACTGATGATTGAGCACTTGCTAAAGAGAGTAGCTGACCCAGGAAGAACAGGTGCAAGCAGTTTTTACCCACGTGGACCTAGGGTCCACCCCTCCCTAAGCTCATTTAAGGGCCAGTCCTCCAAAGGGAGAGCATGTCCTGGATGGTTGCTGGTTTCTGGGAAGGAGTGTTCCACAAACTAGAGATGTCTCCCTCCACCCCCACATCACCAGTTGCGTGAGACTGCTTTTTTCCTGCATATAATTATCGGTGTTCTGCAGTGATACTTTGCCTGCTATCACAAAAAATAGTTGTTAGAAGCAGTTGCACTTCTTCTTAGGACCAACAGTCCTAACGTCCATTAAGATTAGGATGGTAAGGGTTTCTTAATTTTAATTTATTTGTTTATTTTGCATATCCACATTTAAGCCTTCAAGCATTGGAAATCAAGATCTCCTATAAAGTAGAAACTGATACATAAAATTAAGAAGCAAATGTCTGATTCTTCTCGTGACAGTGTTTGGCTTTATGTAGCTTGTGATCACAAGCAAGGTCTTTGTTAACACTAACTGATAAAGCTTTGCTATTGTTCACTTAAACAACTTGAGCTTTTATGTTGGGTATCTGATATGTGCTATCATTGGTAATTTACCAAAGGAAATTTATATTCTGTCTAGATCTTGAAGTATCTTAGCCTTGAGTAGGTATGTCAAAGGTAAGTTTTAGAACAAGACCGCTTGCTTGCTTCTTTTGTGAAC